TTACAATTTAAACATCAAATTGTAAGAAAATTTTACGAATGACGGATACAATCGTCATGACACAAAATTCTGCCACATCAAACACGCTTAACTGGTTAACCATCCTCCCCTCACCTTTTCCAAATTACGTCACTGACTCAGTGACCAGTACTAAAAAAGCTAGTACTACAAAGCTAGTACTAAAAAAAAAATAATGAACAAAATTCGAGCCACTTCTCAAAAAGGTTATGTAAAGGTTATGTCAAATGACGTCTTTTTTCCAAATGACGCCACTGACTCAGTGACCAGTACTAAAAAAGCTAGCACTACCAAGCTAGTACTAAAAAAAAGTAATGAACAAAATTCGACCCACTTCTCAAAAAGGTCATGTCGAGGTTATGTCAAATGTCGCCTTTTCCAAATGACGCCACTGACTCAGTGACCAGTATTAAAAAAGCTAGCACTACCAAGCTAGTACTAAAAAAAAAAATAATGAACAAAATTCGACCCGCTTCTCAAAAAGGTTCGCCATCGCTGAATTACAGGCTACCGAAACACGCGTTTATGGTTGCGGCTGAAACCTATCACAGATCCTCGCGGTATCAGCAGAGACGCGATTCAGCGATAAAGTAATCCGATCAGCGATTAACGTTCGCAACTGACGCGAAATCATGTTTACCGAATAAATCCAGCATCGACGAATAAATCGAAACGATTATAGAGCAAACGATCGAAAATAGATACGGGGGAGGGAATTGTTGATCGACCGAACCGAACTTGGTCCTCGTTGTCCACAAATTCCTGAAAAAGAAAATAGTCGCCCTCCATAGTTCTCATACTTCGATCTTCGGCCGCGAGGCCGAGATAATGAATTTTGTTCCCCGACCCGACGTATGTATAGCTGATCGAAACGGCTACGATACAGTAAGTGAAACGATGCACCGGTTCGTCGCACGGAAGTTACTGGAGTAAGCTCAGTCTGTAGTAGAATGTTTCGCTTGTACGAAAAATACTGTTATATATTCTCTGTCTTGTTCCTCTGATGCGGTTCACATGGGCATCGCTGGAGCAATAGATGAGAAGTGATTCCGCGAGATCACGGAGTTTACAACCATATTGAGAGCGGCGGGCAGCCATGACCAAATTGACTGTTGCTTGTTTTCGTATACGAGGATACAAATATATATGTATATATATCTATATATATAGTATATATGCCCGTATATTATACGCGTGTATATGTACCTACAATATGTACGTATATACGTTTGAATGAACTACTGGAAGCGTACGATCGTCTGCGGCTACGTTTTGTCTATGCTAAACGCCTAAACGCTACTTGCGCGTACCTTGGCACATTTGTCATCATTTCGCTACGTTTAAGAGAGTGTCGTCACCACCGCCGTGTCGCCGGGTGAGATTTGCTCGTTATCGTTTCTCTAATCTATCTATTGATACGGGTCGGGTATACTTTCGACCAGCGTGTCGATGAAAAAACTGTCCATAATACTTGTTGCGAACGTGCAATCAATTCAGTCATTGCCATACGTGCGTTTATAAGCGAAACGATTTCGTTATACGCCGGTATCGCGCACGATCGTTTCGCCTGTCGAGCTTCTCGAATTCTCGCTTTTAGGTATTGTTCACTCTGTTCGATGTCCTCCCTCCATCCACTGTCCAGAGACGCCCACACACGCGATGGATACTAATACAATCGGTATCTCGCGGTACAAATTCAGGTCTCCGATTGCGTGGCAACTGAACAGAATGCCGTCGACTAATTGCAAGGTGAACGTCCCTATCCGCAACTGCGTCCATCTTCCGATCGTTCTATCGCGTTGTCGTAATTACGTAATCGTAACAATCTAATTTTTATTAGATTAAATATAGTATAATTAATATTATAATATATACATATATATATTATATTATTAATTATAATAATATATATTATATATTATTTATATTATATTATATATTATATTATATATATATAAATATAAAAATATATATAATATAAATATAATATAAATATATATATATAATATAATATAATTTCTGTATCAAAAACTTAGAGAGTTGTCATTACACGCATCGATTAATAAGAAATACAGCGAACTCTCCCTAATTTTCAGCTTCTAAACGAAAATAGACAATTTGGGAAGAGGACGATTATTCGAGCCTAGCACCTCTTTTTTATAATTGTTGACAATGAGCCGCGAATAATCGTATCTCTCTCCAAATTGTCCATTTTTGTTTGCAAACCAAAGGAAAATTGGGGAAAATTCACTGCATCGAATTGCCAATTAATTAGAACAAAGGCAGTCTCGAGAAGAACGAAAATTCTTCTACTCGAAGATGCGTCGAGACGATTTTAATATGTTATAACGAACTGATGAAAGAATTCGCTTCTCGCTTGAACCAATTCCACGGTTGCCGATAGAGTCGCTTACCTCGAATGATCGATCGAAAAGGTACAATTATGCTGGTTTATTTTATATTCTTCCTTACTTCTATTACACATCCGTCGTCCTCGTTCCTTAAACATACTTGTATCACCGGTAGGTGAATGGATATCGTACATGCTTCGTGTGGATCGCGCTGATTCTCTTCTTCATTGCGTTCACCGCAATCTACGAAACTTAGGAACCTTCTCCAACTGTTATTTCCGTCAGTTCCACTGCGGCGCGTTTCCGTCGAACGCCTTGTAAATTGAGAAAAGACTCGCAAAGGGTCCCACTCATGGGCAGCGCTTAGTGTACACGATCAGGTGTCATGCATGTTGTCCTCTGAAAACTACGGTTCGCACTCGCGTTGACCCGGCTCCACGGATCCGCGTCACTCGACGAAAACGCTGTATCTCGAATTTATCAGAAATAAACGTCTTCGACCCACTAATTTTCCGTTTGAAATTCACTCACCGTGTCCCGAGTTTCCTAGTATCCCAGTTTCATCAAAGTATTAATTTGATATAGGGTGTCCCAAAAATGTCTCGTAATTTGGAATTGAAAGGTTCCTGAGGTGATTTGAAGCAACTTTTTCCTTAGCGAAAATGCAATCCGCGGCTTCGTTTACGAGTTATTAACGAAAAACGCTGACCAATGAGAGATCGCGTACAGCTGACGCTCCGCCCTCGCGATCGCTGTCGCTGCGTCAGATGGCCCAGCGCACGAAGCTCGGCTCCGCTCATTGGCTCGGCCGCCTCGCGGCAGCCAAGCAAGCTCGTCTCGCATTGGTCACTGTTTTTCGCGAATAACTCGCGAACAAAGCCGCGGATTGCATTTTCGCTAAGGAAAAAGTTACTTCGGATGACCCCAGGAATCTTCTACTTCCGGATTACGAGACATTTATGGAACTCCCTGTGGATAACAGATAGACCACGGATCTTATTCGAAATGGAAATTGTCCACGTCGAGTCTACAGAACAATAGTTAAACACAAAGTTGAACAAGTTCTTCGAACAGTTGCAATAAATGAAAAATTTGCGAGAAACGAAACACGAGATTCTTACGTTATGTCTTTGGCGTTCCGTATTTTACTCGCCAATTTTTTGCGGCAAATGCACAAAATCCGCGGTCTAACGACAGAAGACTCGAAGAAAAGAAAGAAGATCATCGAGAATATCTTTGAAAGACCTCGTCGAATCAAGAAGCTCGAACGATGCTCGTCGAAACGAATTCGTTGAAAATTTCTGTAGAATTCTTCGAAACGATCGATCGAGCGATTAAAGTGCACGCGATTCGAGTCCGCGGAGCGAATCCCGGGTCATCGTGCGCGCTTTATCACAAACGGTGCCCTCCGACGAGCTTTGTAATTAAACACGTATCGGCGGTGAACAAGAACATTTGCGCGAGCGTGGCTGAGGGGGAGCGTGAATTAGTAAACGTCTGTCCGGCATTTCGACTTGGTCTCTGCGGAACATCTCGCCGATGCAGCGCTACCGTTAGGAATATTGCTATTACGAGTCTAGAGAAGGATTCGTCTGGTTTACGCGGGGCTTATTGTCGTCAGAACGTTCTCTTCGCGGTGTTGTTTAGTCGCAGACGCGGTGGTGATCAGAGCTGTGTTGCCGAAAGCGCGAAAGAAGAGAGACCCGCCGCGAGATCCTCGGAGGACATTCGGCACATTCGAAGCAATTATCGTACGTACACGGTACACATTAACGGTAAATACGATACTCTACAGCAAGTGATAGGCAACTACATTATGTTTCACGTATAGTTTGGGTTCGCCGCGCCAGAGCCCTTCGCCGTGATCGACGCCGTTGCTCTGTGCTCGTCGATTCCAATATTTGTACAATTATCGTAAAGCAACGTGCTCCGCCTTCCGGTGCACGTTGAACAAAAAGTATTATTCGTTCACCGAGCGAAACAATTTTGAATCGAAGGTTGCGCACACGTTCGAAATGATTTTTTTCCCCCTTTTGTTTCCGGCACGACAATTATTTTTTTTAGAAAGTAACGATAATTTCTGCTCCGTACGGACCTCGACGGATCCGTTCGGATCAGTGTCGACACCTGCCATTGTGTCTCGCTTCGTCCGATCGGGAAGCAAAGTTTCGCGTAATAGCTTCCTCGCAATTTACAGACAATTCGCCGACCAACAGCTGTCGAAGAGCAAACGGTTTCCTGCTGCGCTACATGGGTCGCGTAAAAATCGATTCACTCGCTATCATCTATCTATTGAATTCGCATGTCTTTCTCTCATTCTCTCTCTCTCTCTCTCTCTTTCTCACATTCTCATTCTCTCTCTCTCGCTCGCTCGCACTGATAAAATATGAGTATAGTCGGCAGACGATTCATCTTTTCGCGCATGGGTGAATATGCAGGGCCAGCCTGGATTCATCTTCAAAAAATAAAACTATTCTATCTTTATTTCTCCTTCTCTTGCTCTTTTGTATTTCTTTCTTTATTTCTTTATTTCTTTCTTTCTTTCTTTCTTTCTTTCTTTCGATCCTGCATTCTTTCTTTGTTTTTTTCTTTCTCGCTTTATTTCTTTCTCTCTTAACTTCTTCCTTTCTCTCGCTCACTCTCCTCCTTTCTGACTAGTTTCTTTACTGTTTTCCATGGTTCCCATCGTCCTTCGAAACGCTCCACCATCGTGATATAGTTTTGAGCAACCTCGGCTATCATCGTTTCTCCCGTTTCTCCCTTAAACTACCGCTTTTACAAACATTCTACTACAATCTACTAGTCGTTTACTATTCCACGCTCGCCACATGATTATAATCCAAAGCACAGAGTGTTTATTTTTTCGCTTTTTGTTTTCTTATAGGGTTGTTGTTTTGTGGATTTTTTGCTTGTTTCTCCGGAGCCCTTGTTTTTTGTTTTTTCTTTTTTTTTTTAGATAGAAATTGTACTTAAATCAGTCAAGCGGTGTGCATTAAATGACGACAGAAGGAAACAACGCCCAAGCCGACGTCCGACAATAATTGCGATTCTCCGCAAACCTTACTCTGGACGCGCTGTCTTCATCTGAAAAGAAAGCCACAGATGTTAAGCGGTTTTTTGGAGAACTTTGTTCGACTTGCGTTTAATTGCTACGGATTGAAACGTGGAAGAAATTCGGACCAAGTTGTAACTAGCCGGCGGATCTTCGTGGAAAATATAAATTTTACGAAACGATTGCGAGGACCAGAAATCAACTGAAAATGAGTTGCTTTATTTAATAATTTTGATAAGTTGGAAACGAGGTGACACGATATTATTAAATTCTTCTCACGTGTTCGAACTTTTGTATTTCAGCTACTCATTTTTGCCATGAAAGCATAAAATCCGCAGTCCAGTTGTAATATTTTAAACGTCGCTTCTTTCAAAACCATTTTCCTTTTTCTCTAATTATACAATTTTGGGCTTCTTTTCTTTTCAAACCATAATGGATTCTTTATTATCATTTAAATATGCATTTATATGAATTTGTATTTAAATGTATATTTATATAAACGTGTATTTAAATGTATATTTATATAAATATGTATTTAAATGTATATTTATATAAATGTGTATCTAAATGTATATTTATATAAATGCGTATTTAAATATATATCTATATAAATATGTATTTAAATGTGCATTTATATAAATGCTTATTTAAACACGTACTACATAAATATTCATGTAAGCTATTAACCCTTTGCCCTCGAATGGCGAGTCTGAGGCGCCGCTAAAAATTGCTATATAATATATTTATATATATAATTAACTATATATATTTAATAAATTTGTTTATATCGAAAGAACTGTAAAAAGTGTAGTTATCGTACGAGCGAGTAAACTGATTTTCACATGCAAACAATAGAAAAATAATACACACACACACAACATCGGAAGAAATATCTTAGTATTGAAGTTAAAACAGCTTCGAGTGCAAAGGGTTAAAACAGCTAACAACTGAAAATGGTCGATGCCTATATTTTGAAAACCTCGAATAAAAATAGCGAAATTTATCTGTAACTTTTTCAACAGGCAACGAGATCATTTGACCGACTCGACAGATTTCAGATCGGAATAACGTTGGGAGAATGAGTAGGCGTGCTGGAAGTTCGCCGATTCACCTTTTATTTAAGCAGCTCAGACTCATCGGAAGCGGTTCCGAGTTCACAGACGGGATGTGGCCAGCGACTGTCTCCAGCAGAGGATACCATTGCGCGACGGGCTGTCTCGGATTGTCCAGCATCTCCAGCCAATGATCACGTCCGATTCCAATGAAGCTGGAGCCAATCGCTGTGCAACCCATTAATTCGTTCGAGCCAATCCTGGAAAGAAGATTGAATAGCAGGGTTCGTGATCGAGCAGCGATCGCGGGCGCATCGCGTGCGCTTAAATCGCCGGAGAAACACGTCTCCTTTCGGTTTTCCGTCACTCACCTGTCATAATCGACCACTTTTACTATTAGACTGACGTCCTCTATGTTCTCCTCGGGCACGTCGAACACGAGAGCCTCATTGTACGACGGGAACAACGTGTTCTTCTTCACCGAAGTCTTCTTCTTCTTTATCCTCTTGCCCTGGCAGAGCAGGTACACCTTCACGTACGGATCTGGAA